TTCAAGGGAGGTTGGACTTAGTTTGCTTGTAGCTATGTAGGGATTCTAGGCTGATCCCTCTTTTAACTCTGCCCCCAGTTTCTGCCAGTCCTCCTACAGATTCTCACTTTCAAAGTTCTACATGCTTGCCATTAAGGCATCTCCAGGACTGTTCCTTCAATCCAATTTTGATCTGTCTAAATCAGAGCTTCCCGAAGAAACTGCTAATGGCAAGCTAGCAAAACCAAGGAAGCAAGAACAACATGGCTTTCAGGAAGGTAGCTAATCTGGGATAAATAATCTTTTTTTAAAAAAATTAAGAGCAATTTCTCACTCTCAGCTACAATGAGTAATGAAGATAAAAACTCTTTAAAATATCTTAGAATATTTCAAAGAAACTGATTTTCTATTATGCTTCTTCTGAGATAAACATTCAAGTATCCTATTCATAGAGGGACGCGGTGGCTCAGTGGCTAAGACGCTGAGCTTGTCGATCGAAAGGTTGGCAGTTCAGCGGTTCAAATCCTAGTGCAGCTTAATGGGGTGAGCTCCCATTACTTGTCCCAGCTTCTGCCAACCTAGCAGTTCGAAAGCACGTAAAAAATGCAAGTAGAAAAATAGGGACCACCTTTGGTGGGAAGGTAACAGTGTTCTGTGCCCCTTTGGCATTTAGTCATGCTGGCCACATGACCATGGAGACATCTTCAGACAGCCAGGGTCTTCGGCTTCGAAACGGAAATGTGCACCACCTCCTAGAGTCTGCATATGACTAGCACATATGTGAGGGGAACCTTTACCTTTACCTTTATCCTGTTCATTTCAGCCATACATAGTAGACCAGACTAAGAAACCAATGACATGTAGGCCAGGACCACTTCTTTGTAACAGCTATAGAAACAGAATCCTGTACCTCTGAATGTCTTTCCCTCCCTTTTTTTTTCTGGGAGCTAGGAAGGAACTCGGCTAAGACATTCAGTCAATTTAGGTTCTTGGCCCAGGTCTTGGTAGCAGTTATTTTTCCTGTCCTTCAAGGTGATTCTCTCTTCTGTCTAAAGTTCATCATCTTCTACAGTCTCTTGCAGCTAATAGTTGTTTACTATTGTTAGTAAAAGAACAAACACATTTTCTGTTGCTGTATTGGTCCCTGAAATTCAATCATCTCTCCAACTTTTAGGATTCAACAATTATTAAAAATGGTACTATTAAAGTGGGTCTTTGAATGATAAATGCTCCCATTTCCTTATTTATTGTATTATTTGCAGGTTATGATTTTTAATTACTTTTCTGGATTGTTTATTCTGAATGCATAATAGTATTGTGAATATTAAGATTTCTATATTTACTTATTCAATTTTTATGACCTACTGAAGAGGTTACAATCATTAGAATTATATTTGTCATCTATTGCTAATATTTGAACTGCAGCTGATGGGAGGAGGAAGGAGGGAGGGAGGGAGGGAGGGAGGGAGGAAGGAAGGAAGGGAGGGAGGAAGGAAGGAAGGAAGGAAGGAAGGAAGGAAGGAAGGAAGGAAGGAAAAAAAAAACACTTTGAAGCTGTTTTTTCCCCATACACAGGAATGATGCATTCTAATTTCTAACCTAGTACCAGGACAAATGAAAAAATTAACCAATAGAAGAGCTGTAAAATTACTATGGAAATATGTTTAGTGAGTTATCTTTCGTAAATATTTACAAAAGTTCTTGAGTGATTCACACACTGTTAGGAGGGCTTGAGGGGGCATTGTTTTCCTACTCTTTAGAACTTTCTGAATCATCCAGTGTAATGGATTTCTTTTGTATGTTATATAAAAAAATTCAAACAAGCAATACTATTCTACAGCATATCTTAATTTAATAAACCCACAAAATGGACATTTTTTTTTGACAACCTTGTCTGGATCTTATCAATGAATGGCATATAATTTGCTTATGTCCTGTCATATCTGTTGGTAAAAGATATCATACGTAGGTATTTTTTGGTCTTTGCTTCCCTAAAATAAATCAAGCCTGAATGAAGTTAGTACAATGCCCACAGGAAATTAATATGGCCCCCGATCTGCTTTATGCACTTCTTTTTATCATATAAATATATATAGAATGATTACTGTATGCATACCATTGCTTTGTTTCCTTGGAATGCATTGCTTAGTGACAACCAAATGTTTATATAAAGATTTTTGTTATTTCTTGATAAAATCACATGCAGTCCTATCCCTATGATAGGACCCATGAAACTACGCATTTCATTACTACTGATCTCATTAACTTAGAACTAAACTTTATTCCCCGTCACTGAAGATTTGTGTTTCTTTTTAAATGAAATTCCTAATATATAGAACTTTTGTTCACAACAATGCCACAAGGCATTTTACTGGCAGTAGATAAACAAGCACCTAATCCTCTAAAAATATTTTTAAATATTTGTTAAATAACCTTCAAAGGCCTTTTATTTCTAAATGACGATTTTAAGCAGATGTAAGTACATTCTACATTCTTGCCTAAAACTTGGGTTAAATGGTAGATAGGCAATAGACCTGGGTTCAGAGAGGACAAATTAAGAATATGTGTGGGAAGCAGTCTCAAAATGTCTTGAAAAATGAAATGAAATGTAAGATGCTATGGAAACAAGGCGAATCAGAAATTAGAAGGAAAACAAGATGTAACCCTGTGAGACCTTTGGGGTCTTATGGCAGATTAAAATGTGTTTGGTGCTTTTGCAGTCTGCCAACTTCCTATTTTCTAGCTATAATTAAAAGCATCCTGAAACAAGTCAGGAAATGCAGTGAATTGTATGGTCACCAAGGGACTGAATGGGAGAATTATTATACTTGTGTTACATGGTTTATACTTGTCTAAAATCAATTTTGCCATCCTTCATTCTTTACAGAATAACAGTTGGAAGTGAACTTTGAGTTCTTCTAATCCAATCCCCTGCTCATGTAGGAAACACTGTACTATTTCAAACAAATCTACTTTATCCATTTATGTTGTTCTTTGTTCTACGTCTATATTTTAAAAGAATTCTAGCTGCATTTCAAATATATCAATATTTATTTCCTAAATGTTCCCAAATATTTAGTTAATTGAAACAACTGATGCTGGATTTTTTTTTTATCCTGTCTACCAGGAGGGGGAGGGGGAAATGGGTTGAAATATCAGGAGTGTTCAGTCAAGCTCTCTCATCAACTCCCAGGACAGCTCTGATAGAAAAAGGAAAAAAAAAAGACTTATGGGAGAAAAAGGATAGCAGTGATTGAAATGATTTTAGTCTGAAAGTAGAATAGTTTTGATGTTAGCAATTGTTAAACAATAAGAAAGAAAATAGAGAGAAACAATAGAAAGAAAATAGACTCAAAAAAGAAGCCGGGCTCACAAAGCTAAGATACAGTCACACAATTATGGAACAACAGAAAGAAAATTATTAAATTAGATGGTTAATCCTGTAGTGTTCTACTGTATTGCTATAAAAATTACAGTGACATTATTGTAATATAACCCTTTATTCCTTCCCTTTATTATTCAGTTTTCTTGTTTCTGTTGCTTTATTTGGGGATGTTTAATTTTCGGCTTTATTCAGTTTTATTTTTACACAATGGGGACTTGGCAGTATAACTTATCATTTCATTATGATTGCTAATTTGCAGAAAGACTTAAGTAAGTATTTGTGATAAAGTAACTATGATTTTAAGATTGGGCAATGTTATTGTAATGGAGGTAGGAACATTATAACCATCAAAATGTTGCCTAGATTCCATCATTTTTAGGTAGCATAGCCAGGGTATTAATTTACAGGTGGTCCTTAACTTATGACCACAATTGAGCCCAAAAATTATGTTGCTACCCTATTTCCCCCAAAGTAAGACATCCCCTGATAATAAGCCCAATCGGGCTTTTGAGCGCATGGCAATAAGGCCAAGCGCTTATTTCAGGGTTCAAAAAAATATAAGACAGGGTCTTATTTTCGGGGAAACACGGTAAGTGAGGCATTTATTAAGTGAGTTTTACCCCGCCTTTCTTGCAACAGTTGTTAAGTAAATCACTGCACGTGTTGATTAGTAACATGATTGTTAAGTGAATCTGGCTTAATCATTGATTTTGCTTGTGAGAAGATTGCAAAAACCTTCACAGTGATCACATAACCCCAGTACATTGCAACCATCCTAAATATGAACCAGTTACCAAACATCTGATTTTTGATCACATGACCAGAGGGATGCCGTAACAGTTGTAAGTGTGAAAAATGGTCATAAGTAATTTATTCGTTGATCATGTAACTTGGAACAGTCTCTAAATGAACTGTTGTAAATCAAGGAGTACCTGTATATCCAAATACAACTTGTAACAACAGTCTGCTCGAGAGGGACAAATGTATTAGCTATGCATTGCAATTTAGACATTGTACGCTTTCAGCGGTCAGAATATGTCACATGCATTAGCTCAATAATTTCCACAAGTTTAATTTTCACAATGCTGTTGATATATATCTGAAATTGCAGTGGTCAAATCAGTGCCATCCTGAATTGTTTTAGGAATGCAAATGGAAACCCTCTCAGTCAATGTGGTGAGGGCTAATGGTAAAAGCTGGCATTGCGATTGTGTCCTTTAATGGACAACGAGAGGACAAGTTCAAACCACAATCATTTCTTCCATAAGTAGACACACTAAAAAAAAAAAACAACAACAAAAAAGAACTGGATGGTTTCAGCTTGTTAAAAGCATTGCAAGGAATGAAGGGGCAAGTTACAAAGGAGAAAAGATTTTTCCTAAAAATTTGGATAATTGGGAAGTTTTCCATGCCAGAGCTTTAACCTACAGTATTTCAGAACCAGGATAATTTAAGGCTATGTTAATGGACTGATCTTTTTTTTTTTTTTTAATGCTATTTTTTCCCCCATAGCCTTGAATCTCAAACTGCAAAAACAGGTCATTTTGGAATCATTTCCTAAATGAAAAAGCGCTCTTGTTAATTTATGCACAGTTTTGATAGTAATATATTAATTATAAACCCTCTCTTTTTCTAGCTTTCTCTTGATTGAAGCGTGACATAAAATGCTACAGCAGCCTGGCTTTTCAAAATGGTTAGCGATAAGCATTGCCGTTTCAGTTGCCTTCATAGATTGCTTGGCCCAAAATGATGATGGTAAGTGTTTGCTTATTTTTTTCCCTCCCTGTTACTACACAGTTTTATATAAAGTCCCATGAGAGAGAGAGAGGAAAAAAAAGAAAGAAATGATTGGAACAAGCATAACAAATACATTGCAAGTTTCTTTTCCATATCCTAAGAGGATTTCAATTTATGTTTGCTATGCAAATTGCTTTGTGAGAACATTCTCAACCGCCAATGGCCACAGAGTTAGTACAGAGCCAATAAAAAGCATAGCAATTCTTTACTGCAATGTTCCCCAATTTTTCCGGTTTTGAGGACTGGTGGGGGGGGGAGAGGAAATGGTTCTGTGCGAACATTTGCATGGACAGCAGGCATTTGCACATGCGCATGGAGCTCCATTTGTGTGAGCAGCAGGCGCACCCACCTCTCACACAAATGGAGTTTCATGCATGCGTGCGAGTGCCCCCTATTTGTGCAAACTGAGGAGTGCAAGCGTGTGTATCTGCTTTTGCATGGTCCAGTTCTGAACGGGCTGCGTCCTGTGGGTTGTGTACCCACTCCTTTACAGTGCATAAGTCCATAGCTTTTAACTGGAATGTAATGGGGATAATCTGTTATCGTCTGTTTGTTTGTCTTAGCATTATTTTTGCCACTGTTGACAGAAGTGTAAATTAAGATACCATGCGCTGGCATTCGGTGAACATAGGGAGGCATTGATTTTCTGTACAATTGGGATTTATTTGCAAGCCAATACAATTGTTCTAAAATATCTGAAAAGAGTTCGAGGAAATAGACTGAGAGTAAATAGCACAGCATACTGCTCAAACGACAAACTGTACATTTAGCTGTGGTCAAGGAAATAAAATCAGATTGATCCCATAATAACCAGATTAAACAAGTAAGGATGACCAAGATATTTACTAAAAATAGAGATGATAATTCCTGGTGAACACCTGTGTAGGGGGGGGCAATTCAGAATAACGTATTCCAACATTTTAATCATTCCTTCACTGCATGGATCCAGTCTCTGTTTAAAGGGGATCTTTTGGAATCTCCTTGCAGTAACAAGATAAACAAGATAAAAGCCCTTTTGAATTTTGGAGGTTTTAGGCAGCTATGATATCTAGGTGGTTGGAGAAGATGTGCAGAGTGGTTGAAGATGTGCAGAGTGGTTGAAGAAGGTGTTTCTGGGTAGAACAGAAAAATCTGATTGTGACTCTTAAGTCAGTGGGCTCCTGTTTGAAATGCCCTAGTGCACATTTCTGCCCATCAAACCATAAAGTTGCATTTAAGCATATCCTGCCTGACACCGTAAAGACTGAAAGTTATTGATCATAATTAAAGGGATCAAGTTGGCTGGAAAAAGGGAAATGGGAAAAGATTAAAATGTGGAAGTTTTCATTTTGAGTAGGCCTTCTTCATAACAAGGAACATGTTCGAGATTCTTTAAAAAATTGTTTTCAAAAACTTGGATTGAACTCTTTCCAAAGGAAGCAATAATCTGTAGATATATATCCCCAGTTTGTCATCACCTAACTATTATTTGGAATATTGCTACTGCTAAGAATAATGATTTCCAAATGGTAGTTACTTCTTCAAAACCACACAGCATCAAACAATACATGTTGTCTTCCTTGCCTAACCTCTATGAAATGTGGCAGAAAGAATTTGGCATAGAATGATCTCTTCGTAGAACTGTTGTTATATAGGGATTGCACTCTACTCTTAATAACAATAGATAGCAGCATCCATTTTTTAATCAGCATACCAAAAGTTGTGGTGTGAGTGGTGCGGTGGCCTAGAGGTTGAGCTCTTGCCTCACAACCAGGAGGCTGTGAGTTTGATCCTTGGTAGAGGAATATATTTTTCTCTCTGGGCACAATGAGAATATATCTGATGGATATAACTCCACGTTGGTGACAGGAAGGACATCCGGCCAGTAAACACTGAGTCCCATTCAGATGGCCAGACAAGGGATTATGGGGTCATTAAAAGAAGATGATGATATCAGAAATTTGTGTGTTTATCTCCAGCCTTTTTGTCTCCTAGAAATTGTGGGAATTAAGGGACATTATTTACCTATTTGGCTACAAAATGCGTCAGGCTGGCTTACTGCCTTACTCCACCAGATATAAACATGTCCTCTAAAGGGCCATGATTCATTTAGTGTGAGGAGCGAATGTCATAGCCTTCCTAAATCAGAGGTTCTCTGGTACTTATCTGTAAGGTAAGGAGAAACTACCTGGCTAGCCAATCTGTATTCATAAGAAATTTTGCTTCTTTAGATTACTTCCTTTTGTTCAGATTGATAGCTGCATTTATCAGAGTTTTACCTGGTCATCAATTGATGGATCTAAAAATTCTGTCTTGAAATGGGGTATTCAGGTGTTAGTGTGTCAAATGCTTGTATAGCACTTCAGGGCTAATGTCCACTCTAATTGTGCATAGCCACTACCATGCTTCAATGTTGATTTTATAGTGACATTAATGGTAGCAAGAAGTATTTGATTTTTTTTATACAAGTGAAAGTAATTCTCCTTACTGACAGAATTTTCTCTCAGGGGACAGGAAGAAACATATATTTTGGTCCTGCCTTCCACAGAAAGGGTGAACTCTTTCTGGCCCACACCCAGTGATATTTCACAGTATATCCAACAACATTTTGGTGGGTTTTGGTATGGTTTTCCCTTTAATATCCATGGAAGAGCGTGGAATATTGAGACTGAAGGAAATATTGATATATAGAGGCTTTTCTTCGGTATCACTGGGGAAATAGATTAACTTGAAATGTATAAATTCTTATTTTTTAAAAAAATCTCTTCACATTCAGTAAACTCATATTTACTGTTCCGGTAGTTCAAAACTGATCAAAAAGTAAATTTGCTATAAAGAAACTTGATTATAACCAATTATTTTGCTTTTTCATCTACTTGGCAGATATGTTTCCTTCTGGTTTTTTTTTTTAATCAAAAATGGATCTCCATTTGGTGAAATATAATTCTTTTTACTAATACTGTGTTTTCCTGAAAATCCTGTCTTATTTTTTTTTGACCCCGAAATAAGTGCCTGGCCTTATTTTCGAGGAGGTCTTATTATTTTGGAATAATAATAAGGGCTCCTCTTGCCATTTTACCTGATTTTCAGCTCTGTCTCCCTAACCCTAACCAGAGGAAATGGTGGAAACCGGCTGCGCGTGTGTTTAAATATTTTCGTGGAGGGCTTATTTTTGGGGAGGGCTTATTTTAGTGCATGCCCTCAAAAGCGTGATTGGGTTTATTATCAGGGGATGTCTTATTTTCAGGGAAACAGGGTATTATATGCTGGAAGATTTCTACTTTGTATATATATGAAGTAGAAATCTTCATTTCTACTTCATATATATATATATAAAGAAACCCAGCTGCCTTTCTTACCTCAGGCAGACTAGAATCCACAGTCTCCTCGCTTCTAGTTTAGGGCCTTCTTAAGCATTAGACCAAACTGTCTCTCTCTCTCACACAAACATATCTTAATAAAAACATTCAGTTTTAATTATCTTCTAATATTTTCTGGGTTTCCTTTTGTGACTTGCTGTATTTACCATTACAATTTCATGTTATTGACAATTATTTTAATCAAAACAGTTCTTGATAGAAGCTTGCAGGTTTTAGGAGCTACGGTTGCAAAATGTGATTGTTATAGTATAGTACAGAAACCTAAAATTGCAGTGACGATGTTCCCACTTATTTTTCTTTCAGGAACCATAACTATCATTTTCAACATGAAAAATGTACTGTTGTAACAGAATTCTTCCTCAGTTTAGAACGGCCAGTGCATTCACAAATGAATAAACTGACTGGTCAAGTATATTTTAATGTGGTGTGTTAAAATAACATAGATGTCAATTTAAAGGTCTGTGTCCTGAAACATGCTGTTGAGAATAGCTTTAGGAGGGGGAAAAGAATCCTAAGTAAGTAAAGAGATTTTAAAATTATAAGAAAATAAGGAAAATACATCCTTGATTTTGGGGTTATTACACATATCTGAGGAAAGAAATCTAAGCTGATTAATGAAGAAATTACTAGCTTCTTAGCTGCCAAAGACTTATGGTAGCATAAATCAACCATGGCAACTTAGACAATTTTACAATCAAAAATGGCATTTAAAGGTATGGCCTACAATTATGATTGAAAGCAATCATAGCTACAATTCTAATTATAAATTCAGAGAGGGTAGAAGCACAGTTTTATCAAATCTGCTATGACTATATACTATAAAATAACAAGGTGTTCCCATATTGTGCTATCTAAATATTTCTAATGTTGTGAATTTCATGCTATTGGAGTGAAGTGAAATAATTTTAGGAACACATCAAGATTAAACACTGTAATTGGAATCTCCAGAATTTCTGAGACTTCGGGAGTTGATATTCCTCTTTAGAATTCAGGGTTGGGAGGAAATATTTGAACTCTCTTTTTCTTCTTTTTTACTAGCCTAAAATGGAGAAAGAGTGAGAGTTGACTGGGGAATTCTGGGACTTGAAGTCCACACATCTTAAAAGTTGCTAAGGTTGGGAAACTCTGCTCTACACAATGGTAGTCCTAAATTTTAGTTCACATTACTTCTGTGTCATGAATTTTATTAAGAACAGACTGGATTCTTAATGTGGGACATTCTGTGCATCTTGAATTTTTAAACTGTTCTCCTTTCCTTTCCTTAGAATCCAATGAAATTTTGCTGACCCTGATTAAACTGAAAGGAGCTTTTGTCCATTTGCTTTAAAAAAGGGGTGATATGAGACCAACAAATCTCTCATTCCATTTAATGAGGTTGTTTGTAAAGTTTATTTGTGGCACCAGAATTAATACATACCCCATCTTACGATGGCGAAAGTACAATCTGGGGAGTTCTTTCTGATTTAATTTAGCAATTTATTCACCATCTTCTTTTCCCTTGCTACAACAATTCATACTCATGCATTTTAGCAGGGCCAGTTTACTTTATTTCCTGTTTCTCAGACAATTAGTTTGCAAATAACCCTAAACCTTTGCAAT